TTAACTTTTAGTACGGTATTGCTAGTTTAAGCTTTTAGTGACTATTCCATTTTGTCTTAGATTTTAGCTACTGTTTTGTTGGTTTTAGCTTTTAGCAACTGTTCTGCTGGTCTTAGCTTTTGGCTATTATCTTTGCTAATCTGAACTTTTAGCTACTATTCTGCTCGTTTTAGGTTTTAGCTACCATTTTACTGGTTTTAGCTTTTAGTACAGTATTGCTAGTTTAAGCTTTTAGTGACTTCCACTTTGTCTTAGCTTTTAGCTACTGTCTTAGCTAATTTGAACTTTTAGCTACTATTCTGCCCATTTTAGCTTTTAGTGTGGAATTGCTAGTTTAAACTTTTAGTGACTATTCTGCTTATCTTACCTTTTAGTTACTGTTTTAGCTAATTTGAACTTTTAGCTACTGTTCTGCTGGTCTTAGCTTAAAACTAGTGTCTTGCTGGTTTTAGCTTTAAGCTCCCGTTTCTGGTCATTTTAACCGTTAGCTTCTGTTTTTGCCAATTTTACCTTTCAGTTACTGTTTAGCTACTTTTAGCTTTTAACTACAGCTCTGCTGGATTTAGCTTTTAGCTCCAGTTTTGCTAATAAATGCTTTAAATGTATTGTTTTCCATCCTGTGATACAAACTTTGGGCCACCGCAGAGGATAAAGTCATTCCACTACATAAGATCTGGAATGATCATAATAACACATACACATGTATATTGTGTGTATTAGTACCAGTTAAATGTGTATAAATGTACACTGTATATATTAGTATCAGCAGAGGCGTCACCTAAAACCCGACCCTGAGCCTCCTGAGCTGTGAGAAGGTTCAGTTTGTGTCTACTTACAAAAGTGGGGTCCTTGTTGAGGCAGGCCTCCGTGAACTCTTTGAAGCTCTTTGAGAAATCTCCGGACAGCATCGGAGGAGGAGACTTGGGAATGTGGAAGAGGACTCGCATCGGATGCATGTCGGAGTTGGGAGGCTCACCTTTGGCGAGCTCGATGGCGGTGATACCCAGCGACCAGATGTCCGCCTGCAGGAGCCGAACAGTCAGACACCAGTTTGTTTTAGCATGTTGGGAAGAATTCAAGCAGCCGAGTGTTTGACTAACCTACTGGTTAACTCACAGGTCTCTCCTGTAAATGAGTCCTCGAGGCTCATTGAGACTAACCTGTATAAACAAAGGTTGAACGAACCTGTACTTTTACCAGATATATGGAGTTCTTTACCGTTAATCATGAATTAATCATGACGACAGCACGGCATGTGGCACGTGATGTGCCTGTCAACAAACGTTTATTTATTTACCTTTATTTAACAAAGCAAATCCCACTGAGATCACAGACCTCTTTTTCAAGGGAAGGCAGCCCAACATGCCTGTAAGGGGAAACCGGAGTACCCAGAGAAAACCAACGCTAAACACGAGAAGAACATGCAAACTCCACACAGAAAAACCCCAGTTCCAAACGGGGATTGAACCCAGGACCTTCTTGCTCTGAGGCAACAGTAAATGGTAAAATGGACTGTACTTATATAGCGCCTTTCTATCTTGTTTCAAGATACTCAAAGCGCTTTACGCTACAATCTGTGCCTCATGTACCCGTTCATACAGCTCTATACTAGATCTCTACAAAGCTAATTGAACAAATCATTGTAAAGAGACTAATCAGAGCTTTAGATCACAGTGCTAACCACTAAAGGACCCTGCATTCTCCATCGGAGGCGGCGAAATCGACGGAGTTGCGTGAGGAATATCGCGTCATTTTGTTCTCAGAGCAGCTTCGCCTGCCCCCTCTCAGCACAAGGCCTGGGCCAACCTTGATCTCACAGGCGTGCACGTCAAGTATTGTGTGAACGGTCCGGAGTTAGTCGGAGTGTTCGTCAATGCGGAAATGCACTCGAACATTCATCTGTACGACTCTTCAAACACTAAATTAGTCAAAAGGTCCAAAAGTCCTGGATGGAGATCGTGCAGTCGGACAGTCTGTCTGCTGGAAGGTGTGGCGCTTTCTTTATGATAGATTTGCAGGGATGGACTCTCTGGCGGGAAGAAACTTGTGTGGATTTTTAGCCGATATGTTAAAACTTATTTGGCCGATAACCGATACCAAGATTTTATATACGTTCCTTTGTCAGAACATAACCCTCTTATTTAGGCTTATTTGCCTGTAAGAACTGGTGACATATATTCAGTAACATTCATATGCATAGCACTTTAACTTGTATTAAATGAAAAGTGTTGAATGTTATTTATTAGCATTAGTCACCTGCGATGCTTGTTCCAGGTTCCTATAGCTGCAGTGTGGGATCCTCTGCACTCCTGTGCATGAAGGACAGACTTTTTAACTTTAAAGTTTTTAGCCATCCATTGTACCGTAAGACTAATCATGCTAACGAGGCTAACACGACGTCCAAATGTCTGTGGTAAAACTCACCCAAGTGCTATCGGCTGTTAGCTTCTCAATGACGTCGGAAATTACGACTTGTAACTTGGATAAGGTTGCGTCGGAAAAATATCTCAGACTGGGGACGATGTAGCGAGGCTCAACGTAGAACAAAAATCTTCAGAATCCGACACCTTCAATGAAATAAAACCTTCACACCGCCGCCATTTTGACTTCTTCCTCTCCGCCGTGATCAGATCAGGTAGGCGCGCATGACGTCATCACGTTGTGTTGGCGCTGCAGGCGTCTTGTCAGTGGGTTGTCATACAAAAACAGCTTCTTTTTACTTTGTATATCGGTGAGTTATTTTGATGGAATGGCCGACGTCCGATATTTAACTTTAACGCTAATATCGGCCGATACCAATACCATGCCGATAATACCGTGCACCCCTACGTGTGGTGATGTATACTGCAACGGGAGAGGTCTCCCAGGAGTTCTACGCCTGTGTCTCGTGGACTAGGAAATGTGTGCGCAAAAAACAAACATCACACAACCGTGTGACCGCAAGTCGACTGCTCAGCTTTAAGCTGTTGTGCTGCCCAGTTCTACAGCAGTACAGTAATACATGGAAATGGACCAGACAAGCAAAGAGTCCAGTTCCTTGACTGATGAAGCCTTCTGGATTGAAGGCAAAACGTTTCAGCACAACAAAAATAAACTGTCCAGATGACCTGACTGAAAAATGTTGGATTTTATACCTGGATTATTGAGCATGGACTTTGTTGTTTTCAACCAGTTTGACAAGACTGTCAACAAGGAAGAGGGCCGGCAATGGAGGAGGGGGCGTACTCAAGAGACCATCTTATCACAAGCAGAACTGGTTTGTTCCACTTTGGAGTAAGCTGTTGGGGGAAGAATCAGTTTTGTTGTGTTTCCTTGACTGATGAAGCCTTCTGGATCGAAGGCGAAACGTTTCAGCACAAAGAAAGAAACTGTCCAGATGACCTGACTGAAAAATGTTGGATTGTATACCTGGATTATTGAGCATGGACTTTGTTGTCAAAGAGTCCAGTGTTTCCCCTACCATTACGCAAGGAGGGTGCCCCGCCTACCAAATCCCCCACCCCTTATCCCCACCAGACGGTGAGCGGAGTTGTAGCAGCTCAGCGCAGACGTAGCATTTGTACCGTACAACAAACATGATGAAATGATGATGGGTGATGAAATCAAGACACTCCACCTACTGATGATGCATGTGTGCATGAAGTTTCATGAAATTATCTTGAGTGGATCGGAAAATATGGGCGGGACAGGAGAAAGTTTACGTGCGGACACCACACCGTAATGCGTCCACCTTCGACGGGCGTATAAAAACCCAAAGTTAAAACGGCACTCGTGCTCGGGACGAGTCTGACCACGGAAACAGCTTTCAAGACCTGCCTTTTGTTTGCTTAAAGGTTCAACACTCAGCCGCCATATGTCAACCTGAGCGAGAAAACACACGGGAGGCGACACTCGAGTCAACACGTGGAGACCTCCTGGATGTCACGACTTCTCCATTACTTCAACAGTCGTCCGACGCACGAGTTAAAAAAACAACAACAAAAGAGCAGACATTACCACAGCCGAGCTGTTCGGGGTCACGTTACAACGAGACGCTCACACAGACAGTTAACTCCACCATGACTGCTACACACCAACCGTACGGCAGCAAGTGGCGGGAACACACACACGTACGTGATCCCATGCTGGAAACACGGGGAGTTTCAAGTTTTCGCAAGCAGAACTCAGTTCGGACATTCCTACAAAATGACGCAATGATTTTCAAACTGTTTTCACAGTTTAACTTTGTGATCATACAATTTTTAATAGAGTAATTTTGAATTTTATGGGAGCAGCGCATCCAAAAATGTTGTCCCAGGAGCAACAAACTGCTGTAAATGTTGGCGGTTCCACAAAGAAACAGCTGGAGGAGCATTTTGTAGCTAATTACCGTATTTTTCGGACTATAAGGCGCACCGGATTATAAGGTCTCTCTTGTAAATGAGTCCCCGAGGCTCAATGGGATTAACCTGTATAAATAAAGGTTGAATGAAATAAGACTCATTAAGCAAAATAAGTTTATTTTGACAGATTTTTGAGCGCCGTGCGCACAACCGGAATTAATACATAAGGTGCACTTGATTATTAGGCTCACTGTCGATTTTTGAGAAAATTCAAGGGGTTTAAGTGCGCCTTATATTCCAAAACATACGGCGGGCTGACTGGTGAGAGGTCAGTAATGTCGTGTTCCACTGTGGAAGAAAATATGGGCTTACACCATTTAAAAGTCATGCATTCTTATTTTGTTTACATTTTACAAACAACCTGGCTCCATGTTGAGATCTTATTGTTCCATATTTTCCTAACAGAGCACTTCGCTCTCAGACTGCAGGTTTACTCGCGGTTCCTAGAGTTTCTAAATGCAGAATGGGAGGAAGATCTTTCAGTTCTCAGGCTCTTCTCTTGTGGAACCAACTTCCAGTTTCTGTCCGTGGGGCTGACACATTGTCCAGTTTTAAGACTTTCCTTTTTGATAAATCCTATAGTTAGGGTCGGCTCGCTACGCTGCTATAGGCTTAGACTACTGGAGGACAAATTGACCTCATTTCCTTAAATTAATTGTTAAAATAAAATGGTGCTGACTTGGCGCTATATAAATAAACTAAATTTAACTGAATTTTATACAACGTTCCCATTTTTATTTTTTTAAACTGGATTTGTTCCTTGCTAGTAAAAATTTAACAATAACGACCCTAATGAGTGCTGTCCAATTCATACCTTTGCCACTCCAAACCTCCTTTTTTTTATTTAGCAAATGCCATTTTGTTGTTGTGTGCATACCATTGTGTACCCATGACATCATCTGTTCTTGACCGAGGTTAAAGGCGCAGCCACGACTCAGAGGTTAAGGCGATGACATTGTAAGATTTTGAATGCTCGAGGTCTGGTATGGAGCTCAGGTTGAAACTCAAGGCCACGGCTCACACTTTAAGTTGGTGCAGGTGTCAGAGGATCCTGATTGCATTTGTAGATGGTCTGAGATGCACTTCACCTGGTGTGTGGTCGCTATACAACCACCTTGACCTTTCAGGGGGAGGGGTTTTACAAAGACAAGTGTTAAACCTGTTGACTGGATATTTCATACAAGTGTTCTTCCTTTCCTGGGCGTTGGGATCTAAAACCACCAAGACTCAAGAACCAGTCTGCATGGAAGCTGGTCCTGTTCCAGCTTTAACTCCAAGTTCAAGTATCTTTATTGTCATTCGCATCACATGTGGTACATGAGGTGGAATGAAATTATGTACTCAAGGTCCCAGTTACACCCAAATATAGCAAAACTATAAAGCATAAAAAGAAACAGTACATAAATATCTAAGATAAACACATATACATATAAACAAACACTATTCTTGGATCTAGTCTGAAGTCTAGACCAGAAGTCCTCAATCCTGGTCCTTGAAGGCCACGATCCTGCATGCTTTGGTTGTTTCTCTGCTTCATCACACCTGATTTGAATGAGTTATCTACAGACTTCTGTAGAACACCAAGACCTGCCAATGAGCAGTGAAACAACTAAAATGTGCAGGATAGTGGTCCAGGATCAAGGACCAGGACTGAGGACCACTGGTCTACACTATGGTTGAAATGGTGCATTTCAGACAGGAATGACCAAAAATCCACTGCAGAAACAACCAAGAAGAAAAAAAACAAGAGGTTTTTGAGCATATTTTAGCAAACAATCATAGTCAAGTCTTCAAATCTATACATCAACGTTTATTGTGCTTTTAATTTGGTTAAAAAACACAACTTAACTGTCAACGACGGCAGTTTGAAACCAAGGCCACAAACCTGGCACGAGATCAGTGATTGGGCGCTGACACCCACACAAACTGTAAGCCGAGCAGAAAGTTATTCTCTCCTAGCAAACTAGTTCTAACTGCTCGGGTTACGTTGGCACGGGAAGACTTTGTGGCGTTCCCAAACCGTCAAACAGCCTTTTCTTCATTAGAGATTAAAAACGCTCTTCAACCAAAACCATAGTTGCATGATCAATGGTTAAATTAAAAGGAAATACCGTATTTTCCGGTGTATAAGTCGCACCTTGTTGTCTAATTTGCATTCCCTGCGACTTATACGCCGAAACGACTTATTTACATTTTTCCCCCCCATATTTATAAACCAATTTTTGGCTGCGATATGACCGTTTTCATTCATTCTGACATGGAAAATATCAAACACTACCATTTTTTGCTGCTAGATGACACTCAAGCAGTATGGCATGCCATTGTGTCACGTAATGGGCAAAAGTGGCTATTAATGACACAATCGGCTTGCCATAGTTGACACTTGGTCCAGCTCGCCTGGAGCAAACTGTTAAATCAGCTTCATTTCGCTGCGCTGCCCCGGAGAAATGCAGCTAATTTGACCATTGAAGTGCATTTATTAAGTAAAAGTTCAACTGAGACGCACCTCTACTATAATGTTGAGCAAACAAATAATTGTTTTTAAGTGTTAATTTTGTTAAATTCTTGTTAAAAGTCCTCCCGTGCACGCTCCAGCGGCCGCCATTTGGCAGCCAATCGATTTTTGGCACAACACCGGCCCACATTTCTGGGTTGTCAGCGGTGACGCATAATAGATGCAACTTACACGGTGAAGTGACTTATTTATGTTTTTTCCACTTTATTGGACATATTTGGACTGAAGCGACTTCTACGGCGGAAAATACGGGAACCAAGTGAAATCCTGTGGACTCAATTTTACACACTTCCTTTTACTTCCAGTATCTTTGCGAAGCTGGAAAACACAATTGAAATCCACAGAAAAGTAACAATTTAAAAAGTTTCACACACAAACACAAGTCCAACCACATCAAGAGACGATGCTAACACACCCTGATGGGCTTGTCTCGTTTCCACACGCCCTCGGCAGACGTCACTCTTGTGTAACTTCATCAGACCTTTGTTTACCTTGTCATTGAGCTTCAGAACCGTTTGATGCCAGCTGGTGCGCCCGTCAATGAACAAATCTGTCTCTTGTAAAATAAGGGCTTTTGTATTTGAGGCAGCTGGCTTCATAACAAATCCACAAACAAAGAGGCTGATGGGGGAACACCGGTGAACCTGAAAACCTCGTCCAGTCGTCATTTGCAGCGCAGATCACCAACCAGACAAACGGCCGGCGGGGGCCTTTTCATCACATGCAAATAAAACCGAGAGCGCTTCGGAAATAATGCAAACAACGTCCGAGTCAGGAACAACAGCTGGCACCACGTGAGTCAAGTTGCCTCAGCAATATGCAAAGTTAAAAAGCAACAACGAACCCCCACGTATGTAAAAGTTTACTACCAACGAAGCAGCTCTAAAGCCTAATTTGTTTTAATTCAATCAAATGTTACTCCTAGACTCATGCAGCCCGAGATACAGAAACCGTCTGCTTATGGTTGTTGCCTCTTCCAGTGTCGCTGCAGCAACTGTCCTCACTCCAACTATAACCATGTCCTCTCCAACTGCGTCCATTAGTCTCTTGACATCGAGGACTTATGATCCAAATAATAGAGATTGGCAGGGCTGGAGGTTTCATACAGCTGAGTGTCATCTGCATATACGCTTCCCTCAGCACGTAAGTGGAAGGATTCAGGACCAATTCAAATGATCTTCCTCATACCGACTAAAATAAAAGCTTTGTGTTTCAGTCCGTTTAATGGGAGAGGGATGACATTTCAGAAACAATCAGCCTTTGAGTTCAAACAGAACTTGACTAAAGAGGGCTTCTGCTTTTAGTTAAATAAAGGTGTGTTGCTTCAGTGCAGGTAACGATGCAAACGACTGCAGGCCTCGGGCTTTCTTCTCGACTGGCCAAGAAACAGAGGGGGAAAAAACGAAAGCCAGTTAAAGTCATTAAGTTTTATATTTTTAAATATATTTAACTCCTAAATGCTCAACAACATTTGTTTATATGTTTACGAGGTTCCACTAATCCGATATGAAAAATAAAAAATGCACATCAAGCAAAAGTGTGAGACTCAAGAGGATAAAACTGTTAGACCAAGGGGGGCCAGTGGTGGGGCTACCAATTTCTTTAGGGGTGGCCATTGCCCCTCTGATCCCGCCTTGTTGTCACAACTGTTACAGTGCGTTTATTTTGAAATCAACTGTATTTTTCGCTGTATAAGTCGCACGTTTGTGCATAAATTGCGTCTTTTGCCCCATATTTATAATATAATCCAATTTTTGACCGAGATCTGACGATTTCATTCATTCTGACATGGAAAATATTGAACACTACCATTTTCAGCCACTAGAGGGCCCTCGAGCAATATAGCAAGCCAAGTGTCTCATTAACAAGTAAAAGTGGCTATTAATGAGACACTTGGCTTGCCATACTAAGCCACCTTCGTCTCCCTCCGAAACTCCTGGAGTAAATGTCAAATCAGCTGAATTTCGCCGCTCCACCCAGGCGAAATACAGCTGATTTGACCATTAAAGTGTATTTATTAAGGAAAAGTTCAACTGAGACACACCTTTACTATAATTTTGAGCAAACAAATAATTGTTTTTAATCATTACTCTTGTTTAATTCTTGTTAAAGTCCTCCCGTGCACGCTCCCAATTGATTTTGTGCACACCACCAGCCCACATTTCTGGGTGGTCAGTGATGACGCATAATAGATGTGACTTATACGACAAAGCAACTTATTTATGTTTTTTTCCACTTTATTAGACATATTTGGACTGATGTGACTTATACGGTGGCAAATACGGTACTTGGTGTTTGAAGTAAGCAGAGTGAGTTACTCTCATGACGGCTTGTGGAGAAAAAGTTAAAGAAAAAAGCATTTTCCTGTGATTTAGCAGAAAACAGAAAAACTTTCCTTCACTGCAACTTCAGGAATGGAACGTGACTTCAGGTCACATGTTCAGATACAGACCAACATGGGTATTTATTTACCAGATGTTCTTGAGAAATGGTCATCATTCACATTAATCCATCAGTCTATACATCATCTTTACCCGCTTCTTCCTTTTTGGGTCGCGGGGATCACTGGGGTCCATATCCAGCAGTCACTGTGCGAGAGGCCGGGGACACCCTGGACTGGTCTCCAGTCCATCACAGGGACACATAGAGACAAACGAGACAACCATTCACTCTCCTAGGGACAGAGTTACCAATCTGCCTAACATCAGTGTTTCCTCTTCCGTTATCCAAGGAGGGTGCCCCACCCCACCCTGTCAACAGAACCGAGAGCCCTGCCTTTGACATGTCCTTCACCCACAACTCCACCTCCCCCCATCGACAACTGTCGGCACTGACGCAGCACTAAGCTAGCGGTGCGCAATACAGTCGCACTAGCTAAAAAGCTACAAAAATACAGACGTAGCGCTCCTCTCCTCTCACACATCCACCCCCACCCCCAGCAGCCTCCATCAACAAAAATCATATAAGAGATTGGCGCCTTGCCAAGGCAAGTGACCTAGAGGAAACACTGCTAACATGCATGTTTTGGGGCTGTGGGAGGAAACCGGAGTACCAGGAAAAAAAACCCGCATGCACGGAGAGAACAGGCAAACTCCACCCAGAAAGGCCCCCGGACCGGGATTTGATCCGGTGACCATCTCACTGAGAGGCAACAGCTCTACCAACTCATCCACTGTGCCATCGGTCATGTTAAACATATGATCTTTGAGTTTTCTAAATGACTGGTTCAGTTTTTTTATTGCTCTCAGCAGCTAGTAAGACACCTGATTATAAACAGTATTTATAAATGTAATAGTTGGTCCGGTCTGCAACAGTCCCAGGTTCATATGTGGCCCTGCACACCTCTGAGATAAGACAACATATTCACTAGAGGTACTAATCTGTAGAAAAAATACAGATTTATGTGCATTATGCACGTGCATCTCCACACGAGACGTTAGAGGTGGTACCGACAGGTCCTTGATTTAAATTTAAAATCAAGAGACGAGGAGCTCAAGGGCAGAGCCAGGTGAGTAAAAAGGTACGATGGTGAAGAAGCGTCTGACCTTTGAGTCGTAGGCGGACTGCTGGATGACCTCAGGCGCCATCCAGAACGGCGTTCCCACGAAGGTTTCCCTCTTTATCTGCGTGTCGGTCAGTTGACCGGCCACTCCGAAGTCGGCTAGCTTCACTTCTCCGTGCTCAGAGAGGAGGACGTTGGCAGCTGTGGATGGTGATCATCACCGTCGTCATCATCATCACTTTTTATCAAGACTTCAATTACACATAAATAAACAGTAGGCCTGTCACGATAACAAATGTTGCTGGGCGATTAATTGTCTCAGAAATTATTGCGATAAACGATAATATTGTGTGAAATTTGACAAGAAGAAACGCTGGTAAATTTTGAGGTTTTTTGCGTGTAGTACCTTTTTTTGACCACTGGATGGTAGTATAAGACTGTTTGAGCTGAAGGATGGATAGTGAGGGAGTGAGCAACGTGTCTCTTTAAGAAAAATAGGAGGGAGACCCCTTGACGTGACATGGGCTGTCTCTTGTTCCTGTTTTCGATTCTCAAAATGGCAGAAGCTCTGTGTGGTTTGAGCTCTTTAGCATTTGTCACATAAAGCTTTTAATAAAATAATCAGTAAACAAGTTCTCAGCTTCTTTTTGAAACAAAAACCCAAACAACTTTTTAGACAAAGGCACGGGTTTCAACCGTGAATTTTGGACCTTTGACAAGACGGAGGGTTTTTCCCTGAGGTCAGTCTGTTAGCTTAGCTCGTAGCTTAGCTTCTCAGTTTAGCTGCTTTTAACGATACAAAACTGTGATTTTGGACGGTTAAAACAGATTTTAAAGAGAAAAGAGGAAGGGAGGGGTCAATGAAGAGCACCGGAGTTGAACCTTTTGTCATCCAGTGTCTTCAGTAGAAAGAGAGAGACACGAAGAAACGATAAAGCCGATAAATGAAAATGAGGTAGATAATTTTAATTTATCGTGCGATTAAATGATTTATTGTTTATCGCGACAGGCCTATTAAACAGTTACCATTAAATCTAAAAATATTAAATTCAACAAGAAAAAACTCTTTGAAATAAAAACAGCAAAAGGTTAGCTAAAAGTTAAAAGTAGCATTAGAAGAAAAAGTAGAGCTAGTAGCTGAAGAGGATTTCAAAGAAAATGTTTTTGGAGGAGTTAAAGAGATCTTTGTATATTTCTTTGAGACTTTCTGTACTTTCTATGCAACAAAACTACCGTAATTTCCGGACTATAAGCCGCAACTTTTTTTGAACACTGTGGCTTAAACAATGATGCAGCTAATTTATGGATTTTTACAGGCGAAGGAGCTTCATGCTGCCAAAACATTTAGCCTCGTCACATCAGACCGATGAAATTACCGAACAGGTCACAGTCGACCAAAGAATCTGTTCGAATTAAAGCAAACACATTAAATTCTTCAGATCAGTCATTTTGCCACACGCAAAAAGCTACTTTGCTCAAGTGTGGCAGTGGATCCTGACAGCGTGGAGCAGCGTCAAACAATCAGCATGCACCAACGGGTTTCGAAAGGCTGGACTGCTGCGTGATGAAGAGGACAGCACAAGCACAAGAGCGAATACGACTCGAGACGAAAGTGACGTCGAGAGCGACAGAGGACGTGTGTTATGAAGTTTTTCTGGGGCTGTTCAATTCTGACACTGAAGAAGACTTTAGTGGTTTTGGTGCACAGGAGGAAGATGAGGATAGTGATCAATGACTTCCTGGTAGGCTACTGTACTTTGTTGTTTTTTTTAAACCAGCCGTGTTATAGGCACTGTTCAGAAAAAAAACATTTACAGTACGTATTTGTGTATGTTACCGGTACGTATTTATTTAAAAGTTTAAAAAATCTTTCTGTCTAAATATCTCTTTGTAAAACATGGACGCCTGCAGCTTAAAGACAAGTGTGGATTATATATGTACTTTTTAAAATTTTAGTTAGTGGGTGTGGCTAATATTCATGTGAGCTCAATAGTCCAAACATTACGGTACTTTTATACTTCACACTATTTTAGCGTTTGTATTTCAAGACGCTCGGCTCATTTAGGAGACAGTGCTCTGATGTTTGTTTTATGCAACTTTGATACTTTTAAACATTTTTACAGATATTTCCACATAGATTCATTGAGATCTCGTCAGTTCTTACAAAGTTCTTTCAAATCTGCTTTTTTAATCTTCTTAAATAGTGCTGAGCTACAGTTTAGCTACTTATACAGCCTTTTGCTACTTTTACCAAGGCTACTCTTTTGCTACATTTAGCTTTTAGCTAGCTTTTGCTACTTTTAATTTTAGCTAGCATTTTGTTACTTTTAGTTTATTCTAACCTCTTATTTTTGGTTTAGCATTTTGCTACTTTTAGCTTCTAGCTTGTTTTAACTATTTTTTGGCTTTAGTTAACATTTAGCTGTTTTTATCTAGTGTTTTGTTATTCTAGCTTTAAGCTAGCCAATTGCTACTTTTAGCTTTTAGCTAGCATTTTCCTAAATTTAGCTTGTCTTAGCTATTTTGGGCTTATAGGTAACATTTAGCTGCTTTTAGCTAGTGTTTTGTTACTCTAGCTTTAAGCTAGCCTTTTGCTACTTTGGACTATAAACTAGTGTTTGCATCTTTTACCTTTTAGCTAGAGAGTTGCTACTTTTAGCTAGCTGTTTCATTTAGCTTTAAAATCTCAGTATTCAGCTGTTTCTTCATTCAGATTTCTATTTGAAATCTTTGTTTTTAGATCTTTAATAGAACCAGTGGGTCCAGCCGCCTCCACACCTTTGATGTCTCTGTGGATCTTCTTCTCCGAGTGCAGGTAGTCCAGACCCTTCAGGATCTCCTTTAGCATGGTGGCAATCTGAGACTCTTCAAACGGACCCGCCTTCAGCTGCACAAACACAGACAGGTGATGACAAATCCTGAAACCTTTCGGCTGGTGGGCTTTACGTAGTCGCTCAAACACAGATGGTTTCATTCGGGACAACATTTGGTTTCAGAACCACCCTCAGATTTTATCCACAGACCTGTTCATTCAGGATTAGACATTTACTGCAAACAGCTCTAATCTGTTGAATTAATCCAGCTGAAATGTGTCTGCAGACTCACCAAATCCAGAGCCGAACCTCCACCAAGATACTCCATGATGATCCACAGTTTACTGCCCTGAAAAGGAAACAATTTGTTGTCATCAGCTAAAAAACAAAAGTCTTGTTTCTTAAAATCAAAGTGCTTCAAAAAGCTTTTAACGACATTTAAACTACGAAGCATCGTGTGAACAGGAAAATCCAAAGAAAAACGAGTGACCGCCAAGAGCTGAATGACAGCTGCAAGAAGCTGAAACTGAGATGTTAAAGCTAAAGAAGCATATTACGAGCTAAAGGCTATCGGGAACAAAATGCTAGCTAAAAGCTACAGAAGCAAAACACTAGCTTAAAGGTAAATGTAGCACAACAATAGCTAAAAATTAAAAGGAACAAAATGCTAGCAAGCAATTAAAAGAAGATAACTGCAAGCTAAAACGTAAAAGCAGCAAAATAGTAGCTAAAACTAAAAGGAATGGAATTATATCAAAGAGCTAAAAGATACAAAATGATAATTAAAGAGAAAAAGAAGCAAATGCTAAGCGCTAGGAAAGTGAAATGTTAGCTTAATTTTTAAAGTAGCAGAACAATAGCTAAAAGGAACAAAATGCTAACTAAAAGGTAAAAGAAGAAAAATGCTAGCTAAAATCCACTCAACTGCAGCTAAAGGAACAAAATACTATCCAAAAGCTAAAAGAAACAAAATGTTAGCAAAAAATTAAAAAATAAAAGGAGAAAAGTGCTAGCTAAAGGGATCATAATGCTAGCTAAAATCTAAACGTGTCAACTGGCTAGCTGACAGCAGAAGTGGAATAGCTAAATAAGAAAAGTAGGATAAGAACAAAAATGCAGCCAGTGGGCTCAGATTTCAGAGAAAAACAAAGTTTCTGAAGGG